GGTGTGGATGATGAATGACAAGAATTGTTGGCTTACCCCAAAGCTCTAAACAGAGATAATCTTGACAGAAAATATACATACAAACATACAGACTCACAAGCACACATGGATGGAATAAAGGTGGAAGAGTCACGAAATGAGGGGATCTAAAGTGTTCAGGTCTAAGGAACTGGTGTAGGGGGAGCAATAAAGACATCCTTAGCGACCAGGGCATTTCTATAGGTGGTCTCAGTTAGGGACGCAGGTAGTCTCCCAGGGGCAGCAGGGTAATCTAGCAAATTTATCCAACTAGGAGAGTGATGGTCCTTAACAAGGGAGGACAAGACAATAGGGGCCATGATGGAGGAATAATGAATATGATAAGACGATGGGTCCTGACTCACAACTATAATGGGATAGCCCAACGAGTCACCATCAGGCATAGGACTCAAAAGGAGGGGTAGAGTGTCCAAAACAGAGGTGGGCACAACCGTTAGAGAGATGTTATGACTCTCTCTAGCATTAATGTCGATGTGAAGAATGGAGAGGTAAGGCCAATAAAGAAAGACACACTCGTTCAAGCGTAAATTTAGAGGAGCAACTCCTAAAATAGATTCCAATAAAACAAGAGGAGGCTCATCATTCAAATTAGGCTCAGAAATTTTCAGATTCAAAATACCGTCTTCTAAAATCATATTACTATCCTCAATAGAATCAGATTTGGTGGTAACCCTAAGATCAATGGGTTCGGGGTCAATTAAATCGGGGTTTAACTCAGGTAGTAAATTTAATTGACTCAATTCCAACTTAAGACTATCCACGTCGCTATCAAAATCCGAAATTGAATCAAAATTATTCAGAGTCATCTTAGTAGGAGATACGATTAAATCAGAAACTTTCGAATTTAATTTCATTGTGTTCACGGTCAGATTAGATCCTTTCGAGATCAAGTTAACATCATCCAGGCAGACATTATCCAACGAGATATCCTCGAGGAGACTAGGATCAGGGTGGGATAAGGTGTCGACATTTAAATGTTCTAGCTTTCGTAGCTCAGGGTTTAAGTCATGCCGGGAGTCTGATTCAATCACTTCAGTCTCATCCTCAAAGAATTCTTCGTTATAAGTGATATCATTAGCATCCACGAAATGGATGCACTCAGTCTCAAGTTCAGGGGACCTTTTCTTTTTAATGCATTTCTTTATTATAATTACACTTGCAGGGTCAAGGGCTAGGGAGGCTAAAGGTTGACTGGGATGGCTAGGAGTCGGCCCAAGTGGGGAGTCATATGGGACCGATCCAACAAAAGACCCAATAATGGGTCAGCCATCGAGGCTAGAAGAAAGCCTACAGGGTGGGGCAGCAACCCTGATGTTACTAAAGGATGGGTGGTCTCGACCACAGTAATGTCCACGGTTTGTTCCAACAAAGAGATAGGATGGTGCTCTAGATGACGGTCACTAGGAGTAGGGGTCTTGAAGGTGTAACACCCAAAGGTTTGATGAACAGGGGATGACCTAAGCTTAAAACCAGTTGGTTGGTCACTGGTAGAGGGTCGGTATTTTAAATTAAGTTCTCGCTTCTTATCTTTCCAATTAGAAATAGAGTACTCACCGCGAGACTCTTTATGATCTTCCAATCTCATCCAAAATTGAAGAGCCCTACCTTTTAGGTGAGATTTAATGATGCTAACCTGATGAGACTCAGGGATATGGTGTGATTCAAAATAGTCCTCTAGTTGTCTATCCCATTCCCTAAAGTAGTAAGGGTCTGAAGAAACATCAAAGGTGGGTAGACGGTAATGTGATTCGAAGTGATGTTGTTGTGGCTTAGGCTCAAGTCTAGGTTGATAAATAGTGTTGGGCATCTTTTGACTATCATGATTGATCGAATGTGGCACATACCTAGAGTGAAGAGAGTCAACATGTTCCTCCTTCGTGGTTTTAATTAGAGAGCCTACCAGACTAACCAGGTCATCTAACTTCTTTTGAAGTCCTATCGGGTCCATTGGAAAGTGTCAAGTGACACTCAAAGATGATTGGGTGTAAGGGACGTCATTGAGACACTAAGTTAGGCTCACTTAAACTCACTAAAGGGTGCAAAAATTGTTTGGACAGCAAGCTACACTAGTGGGTTTAGTAACTTAGGCATAGGAAGGTTGTTATGCTGAGGACAGCACCTAAACACTTAAGAAACTAGCCTACAGTTCACTAGATGTGTGCAGGAATGATTAGGACAGCAAGGTACAACAAGGGTCCAAGTTGTCTAAGTGTTTTGGGAGGGTCCTAGTGCGTGGACAGCACTTAAACACAAGCCTATACTCACCTAAATGCCACTAATTGGTGTAGGAAAAAACTTGGACAGAAAGCTACAATGTTTGTCTAAGCAAACTAAGCAATTGGGGATGTTGTTGTGACAAGGACAACCCTTAGACAATGAAGTAAACTTGCTTAAAGTGATGAAAACGATGCAGAAATTTACTGGACAACAAAGAAAAACAGAGAACTAAAGTAACTAGGCAATGGTATGCATGCAAACATGCAAGACATGCTTATCATACTCTGATACCAAATATGATGTGAAACATGTAGGAGTTACTTGAGAAATTATTATGATTAATTGACCAAAACGTGCCAATATAGAATTATTGCTTGCAATAAAGATAGATTTCAGAATTCAAAATTTTTAACTTGCTTAGGCCAAGAAGTGCTATTGAGATTAGCCAAACAATTTAATAAAAAAATCCAAAACACTAGTCAATGTTACATGCTCATAACAAAACCCAACACTTAATAATGAGAAGTTCACCTTGAGCACCTTCTCACTCTTCCACTCTTAGGCTTTAGCGGAGAAGACGAACCCTATGAGGAAGGATATTGCCACTAGGAAGATGGCGCCGAAGACCTTCGTTGATGGAGAAGTAGCCGGCGGTGGAGGAGGCAGCGGGTGACCGATGATGAGCTAAGGCGTCTTGGATTTTTGAAGGTCAATCGTTCCGGCTAGACAGTAGAGGATGCGATTGACGTATCTTTCCACCGATTCGTCGTATTCCCAATCGAGTTCGTAGAAAGGAGAGAGGAGAATGTCCATCTCTCCTCGGGCTTTGTAAGCAAAGCCGTGATCAACTTCCAGATCCGCCATGCATTCTTGCCGGGAGATGAAGGAGCACTAATGGAGAGAAGAGGGAGAGGAGATGGCGGTTGGAGGGGAGGGTGTGGGGCCGACTTGAGGAATGGGAGGGGAGCGGCTAGAGTGGGGAAGCACTTGGGGGATATTTAGAAACCTGAAATTAAATTCAGGTTTAAGTGAAATTGGAAGAAATTAATTTGAAATTCAAATTAATCTATTAAAGACTAGGGGCGGAAAGGGAGGAGGGGATTGGGGCTGATTTAGTGGGGGAATTGGGATTAATTTGGGAGAGAGAAAAGTCAAAAATCTGAAATTAATTCTTAGATTTAATGAAATTGGAGGGAAGTCAAATTCAAATCAAAGGATTAATGGGAGGTGAGGAATTATGGGAGGTAATTCGAGTGCCTTGATTGAGGGCAATTAATGACAATTGGAGAGAGAAGTAAGGGGAAGGGGGCCGACCATGTAGAGATGGGAGAGGGATTTTGTTTTAATGATGTGGGCCCCAAGGATTAATTAGTGGATTTAGGTCTAATCTGAAATATTTTTAGATTTTATTCAATAGGCAAGTTTCCTAAATTAAGTCCAAGCCTTTGGAAAGTATTTGAATTTCAAAATTTGATTGAAATCCAAATTGGAAACTTTCTTAAATGTCTTGAGTCATTTTAGGAAGGTAGTAATGCCCCTTTTTGAATTTGAATTTCAAAATAGAGCCAAAGGGGGCCAGCGGGTTTGGAGCTTGGGGAAAAGGGGCGGCGGAATGGGTGGTGGCCGCCGGTCGGGAAAGGAGGTCGGCGGATAGGGAGGCCCTGGGGGTCGGCGGGATGGGCTTTGGGAGTTGATCTTGTATGGGGAAATTAAGGGTAATATTGGCGGTAGTGAGGAGAAAGAGGCGTAGTAAAAATGAATAACTCAAAAGACTAACTGAGAGCTCAGAATCCATCGGCGGTTGTCGGGTATTGCAAATCACCCTCCTCGGGCTTCTCCTCTCATGAACTCACTTAGAGATTAAAACGAAGAACATAAAATTTTCATTCAATAATTCATCATCCTTTTACAAAGAATAAGGCCACTATTTATAGACCTCCAACATAAATAAAATGAAAGTACACAAATGCCCTTAAGGCTACAATAAGAAAACACTCCCCACAGGGGTAAACTTGGAAAAACTGAAAATAATAAAATAAAACGTATCAAAAGTAAAGACTGAATCGTGGCCGTCGATCTACGATCTCTTCGCCGGTACACGTGTCGGAATCTCTGAGCGATGTCCTTATCAATTATATAATTTATTTTAAGTATTATAGTTTGTATAATAGGTCAGTGTTAAAGAAATACTTATTATATGAATAATATATCACGACACATCTCAATTGCATCTAAGATTCTATTAGTTATCATAAAAAAATTTATTTCGATCAAATTGACAATAATGCTAACTAAAATTTTTCTAAACGATTAATTAGTCATTAATTAACATATGATTTTAGGATCATTACAATATCTACTCTAAGAAAGCAATAGGCAATTCAACATCATATGGAGAAAACCGTTGTCAGGGTTGTCTAGTCAGCTTTAAGGTTTGGGTATCATGGTCTCTTTGTTCAACATGTCTACCTTGACCAAATTATTAAGAGGCTCTATTTTTTAATTTGAACTGACCATCTATCTTAATTTAATTATCTTTTTCATTATAATTTAGCATATGTAGTTTCATTAGTATTGAAAGCCAACCCAAAATATTTGGGCTATGGCTAATGCTGATGTTGATGATTATCTCCTTTGTTGTTGATTATATGTGTCTATGAAAAAAAATAAATTTCAGTTACTTTCTCCTAAATTTGGTTAAATGAATCGGATTGCTATTGATTACTGCTAAAATCTTGTCTCAGGTTGAGGTCAAACTTGATGGTTTGTCAAAATATCTGGAGGAGACTAATCTTGCCAATTTTACCATAGAGGCATCATTGTATGATAACACTGGATATAGTTATGGGGATGTTAATGGTGTCTTTGATCTAAATCCTTATAAGGTGGTTCATATGGTGGTTAAATCACCGGCTGTTGATATTCATGGTTTTCATGGATATTTACTTGCTGGGAAATTCAATGAGCCAAAACTTTGGTCCAGCGAACATGTGAGTAACATTGAATTGTGTTTTCTAGATAATCATATAGTCGGTATAATACATGTTGAATTTCCTTAGTTAATGTATGTTTTTAAGTACAAGAACTATTCTGAAGTATCTCCTTAATTTTGCTTGATTTAAAAGATCAAATCATTAAAGATTTAAGTTTGGCCCACTAGGGCAGCTCGCAGCTCACATGAAAATTTATTCTGAATGAATTATTTTGTTAAGATAAGAAAGAACTTTTGTTTAGATTCTTTCTTGAATGCTGCCTCCAAAGTTTGTATTTATGTCTACCACATTCTAGGATCTTTAAACATAAAATTTATGGACTCATATTCATCTACAAATAAAAAATATGAATGGATTGATTTTCACAAATTTAATCAGTCATCAACTATGTAAAGAAATGAGGATGATGAGATAATATATGGAAATCCACTTAGAAAATCCAATTATTTCATGGATTTTGTTTATCAGCATCATTTGATATGCTAATTAATAGAAAGAAATTTCATCTATTAATTTCCTAGCTATTTGCACGATCCTAGCTTATGAGAATCATAAAATTCAATCTATTAAATTCCTAGTCACTTTTTCATAAGTTATTCATTGAGATTTTTATACATCATGGATGAGGACACAATTATTCAAATGCATAAAATAATGCATGCCAATATTTTTTTTTTAATTTTTAGAGATTATGAGCAGTATTTTTCATATGGTTGAAGGTTATATTTGGAAATTTACTTGTCAGAGAAAGTATGCTAAGTTACATATTTGATTTTGTTAAAACATGCATCAGCTCAGAAAACGCTAAATACAGTAGCAACACTTCCTGCAAGGTAGCTTGTATGTTTGTGTGTACATTCTTGGAATTCATATATCTCACTTTGTTATATATTATGTAGCTGGTGTCAAATGCAATGTAACTTGAAGCAAGGTAGCATGCTTGTTTGAGTATAATTTTAAGTTTCTTTAAAAATCGAAAAAATTACATTTTCTTCAGAAACTTTTCTTATTTTGTTGTGATTTATGCTTTTCTGTGCAAGTAGACTCATTATTGAATCAATCATAGATATGTTTGTGTCATATTACTATTTTAACAATCTTATATGTAGCATAGGATTTTAAATTGGCTGTATTAATGAATTTTACAAATGGATTATTTTTGTTGTTTTGCCGTATCTTTCTCTGTTTACAAATAGCAGCTGGACATATATGCGGTCAAGTGTTACATTTTTTTTGATAGAGTAATGTTCTTAATGGACAAAGGTTATTATTTCTTCAATACAATTAGTAGAGTCTGCTTGACTGAGAACAAAATTGATTACCAAATTTTTTTATATTTATTTATTATTGCTCATGCAGCCAAACTTGTATACGCTTGTAATAATTCTGAAAGATCCATCTGGTGAGCTATTGGACTGTGAATCATGCCAAGTTGGCATACGCCAAATATCACGAGCTCCAAAGCAACTGCTTGTTAATGGGGTTCCTGTTGTAATAAGAGGTGTTAATAGACATGAACACCACCCTCGTACTGGGAAGACAAATCTGGAAGCTTGCATGATTAAGGTTGTATCATTTCTTTTGTTAATTGTATCCATCTAGCATATCACTCAAAGCCAACTGAAGATATATCATTTGATGCTGTCTCTTGTTTCTATTTTTATAGGATTTGGTTCTAATGAAGCAATGCAATATTAATGCTGTGAGAAACAGTCACTATCCTCAACATCCAAGATGGTATGAGCTATGTGATCTCTTTGGTATCTACATGATAGATGAGGCAAATATAGAAACACATGGATTTAATGATTCCAGTAATTTCAAGCATCCTACCTTAGAAGCAGCTTGGGCTAGCTGTATGTTGGATCGAGTTGTGGGAATGGTGGAGAGAGATAAGAACCATGCATGCATAATTGCATGGTCTCTAGGAAATGAATCTTCTTATGGGCCTAATCATGGTGCTCTTGCTGGTAGTGTGCTTCCTTCTCTTCCCCTTTTTCTTTTCTTAGATTCATTCTTTGACAAGGTGTCTAATATCTGGCAACTCACTTAGGTTGGGTTAGAGAAAAGGATCCCTCAAGGTTTCTACATTATGAAGGTGGTGGTTCTAGAACCTCATCAACGGATATTGTATGCCCCATGTATATGCGTGTATGGGATATGGTGAAAATTGCTGCAGATCCATATGAAAGTAGACCTTTGATTCTCTGCGAGTAAGTTGATTTGGATATCCTTATTTGTTCAATTTATATTCTTTATTTTCCTAGCTATTGTTAATTAGGGTGTTAGCTTTGGCCTCCAATTAATAGCTCTTTTTTTAAAAAAAAATCTAGGTATTCCCATGCAATGGGAAACAGTAATGGAAACATCCATGAGTATTGGAAAGCTATAGATAATACTTTTGGACTTCAAGGGGGTTTCATTTGGGAGTGGGTTGATCAGGTAAGTATCTATCAAAATTTATATAGGACTCATTTTAATCTAAGTCTAATGTAATTATTGCACATCTTATAGAAGTAATAGACTTATTGTATCATATGAACCCATTAAGATTGCACATCTTAAAGAAGTATTAGACTTGTTGTCTCATATGAACCCATTCCTATTAGTCTGTTACTTCCATAAGGCCAGTTATTATGTCCATTTCTGCTTTTTGAAAAGAAAGTTATGCGGAGGCATTTGTGTGCAAAGGAAGAGAATGGATTCCTCTCATAATTAACCAAGCTTCTCATGGTAAAACAGTGACATTCCAAGCATAAACCCCTAAAAAAATTATATTATTGTGAGATGGATAGTAGGGATTTCTCCTGCTGCTTTATGCACTGTTTGTGTAGTAAATATCCTGCTATGATCATTTCTAATAGCCAAATCTAATGGTGAAGGATCTCTTTTTTGCGAGACCTTGAGGCTTATAACCCAACTTGACTATTATTTTCAATATTTTCAAATCAACGCCATGAGAGGGTAAGAAGAAAGACTTGCGACTGCATTTTAAGTAGAATAACTTCAAATAAGGATTGCTTTATTTTTCTATTGAAAATTAAGCTGCCATAACATTATCATGTTGATTTCAATTTGGCTTTGTTTATTTTTTTATTTGAAAAGCAATAATAATGAAGTATGGGGATAGAGCATCTCAGATGGTTTGTTATAGGTTTTTTTGATGTCTTACAGTTTAGGATTTTTATTGCAAATCTAATATGAGATGTAGAAACTCTTACGACAAATATGAAAAATTTATGGGTCATAAAATATATTTTGGCTAAATTAAATCTATGACACCGGTATTATAATACCTAAAGTTTTGTCAACCGTAAGCATAAATATTTCTTAATAAAATCATTCGCTATTTTCTTCCATATATGAAAAATGTCAAAGTTAGTTTCATTAAATCCTAGTTTTTATTTCAAGCATTTTGGTATATATACAAAATATTTGATTATCTTACTGTAGCATTCAACCCAATTAACCATAAATTATTTAATGTTCACTGTAGCAATTCCACTTAGCTATACGTGCAAGGGACGGATTAAATACGACAGCAATCGTGTGGCTGGTATTGGGGGGAAAGACTTAGTGGAATTAAAGTATATTAAATTCCATTTAGTGGGAAGGGAAATGCCTTAGTTAACTTTAGCCCATTCCATCCTTCCATCAATTATTTTCTGGAGGCTGAAACATTCTGCGAAGGAGGGGGTAGGCATTGAGCAAGCTGTGCGGCTGGTTGCTTAAAACATGTATGAAAATAATTTCAGTTAAGGGAAAGGGAAGGGTTTATACTGATTTATGCTGTTGTTTGCTAAAAACAACAGCTGCTATGTCGTTGTTTGCTGACCAGAACAGCTGAAATGCTGTTGTTTCCTGAAAACAACATATAAAATTAGTAGGGTAAGAAAAGAGGAAAACTTAGGGAGAAGTTGCTATGCTGAATTTTTTGAATGTTGCTGAATTTAGGTGGTTGAAATCAATTGGTGTTGATAGAGTTAAAATAACAGTAAGTAAATAAAAAAAGAAACAAAAAGGAAGTAAAGAAAGTTGAGAGGAAATTTGGGAGAGAAAAAGAATTTGGGTTGAATAAGGAACTTGATTGAGCTAAAATTGTAAGATGTTATATTACCTATTTTATTTGTATTTGAATGCATATATAGAAATGAAGAAATTTATGCTATAGGTTGTATACAAAAGAAAAAGGAATTGGGATATTCTAGGAGAATCAATTCCTAGCAAGATGAGATACCCAAACGATGCATAGAAAATGTTATGTTTATGATAGCATTATTTCAATTTATTCCACTTTATTCATATATGTGAATTGTTGAATCACTAAGTAGTAGTAATTACATTAGTACTGTATGATTATGAAAATGTACATGAAAATGAAAGAGAGTAGAAGAGTGAAATAAGTCATATATGGGGGATAGACTCGCACAAGTAAAGTCGAAAGACCTAATGAGGTAAGCCTACACTCTCGAAATTATAAAAGTTGTGAATTCAGATCAAACCTTGAATAAGAGAGTAGCTTCAATCCTATGAGTTGGGAATTCAGACCTAACCTTGGATTGAAAAGCTGGAAGGATGCAAAGCCTATATCTATCATATGACTTGTATAAAGGTCTTAAACAAAAAGTAATGTTATGTATTTCTTACGATTAATATAAAATTTTAATATGTTCTAAATTAATTGTTAATAATGTTATTATTATTTCTTATACATTGCTTGTGTATTTCATTGAGTCATAGCTCATTAAAAGTTATTATCTTTGTGAGCTCCAAAAATCCGGCTCTGGCCTCCGCCTGACTGTTGCTTTTTTTCTCGGGGAGGAGTTTTAACGGGATAAGTTCCGGGGTAAATTTTGGAAGGTAGATGAGTTTGTAGATAAGTCACTACCCAGAGATTTCGCCATCATTTTGTGAGGACTTTATGATCTGAGTTATGGTTTCCTATAGGCACAAGCCCCTATCGTTAATTTCCCCTCCCACTCACGAGAGAGAACATTCGATTAAGGGTAGTCATTAATTAGATGCATCATATCCGTAGATACATAGTATCAAGCATATAGTAGCAGCATGGGCATTTGGAATTTGGAAATTAGAAGGTTGAAAGATTTGATATTTAAAATTATAAATTTCATCATCTTGCACTTAAAGCGGATGGTGGGGGAACGGATGATGGGCCCGATAAAGACCCCATGGTTCGGTCGTCTCGGGCCATCATAGTCCCTGGTCTACTTAGTCAGAGGAGGTAGTCGACCCAACCTGACAGAATGATCCTTGTCGGCAGCCATGGGTTGCTTTGTCCAAGGGTACCTTATAAACCTGGGTGGGTATTTGCCTAAGGGGATAAATTTGAATCCAACTTAGTTAACAGAGAGCTTTGTGCCCTATCAATCATATCTTATTGATTCATATCTCAAGGATTTGATGTAATTAAGGAGCGTATTAGTTCTGGCCATAATCGATACTTTGTGATACTATTGACAGCAAAACCACTCGGTTCAGAGGGCCCCGAGTCATAACCGTTTATCCTGCGATGCCATTTAGCGGCAAAACTGTCGGTTAAAGGACACATACCACATTCTTATTGGCAGGAGATTATTTGAGAATGAACCCTAGTGATATTTTCGACTAGGCATTAGCTATATGTGAGCTGAAGTAAATTTTAATTTGTCCACCCGGCAAACTGTTGTGGAAGGTAGATGGATTTTGCTTTAAGTGTTGACATATTTATTTCAATTTTAAATATTTTTTGGCTTTTTGGATTTTGGACTTTGTGGAGTTTTGGATTTTCATGGGTATTTGAGTTGTGTTTTGGAGATATTTGAAATTACCCCTTCGGTTGAGATAAGCATTCAACACGACCATCATCGGGGTGACTTTGAGGTCACTTGAAAATGTTTGATGTTTATGAAAATTTGAGGGCATTTTGAATTATTTAAAATTAACCCATCCGGCTGAGATTTGCATTCAACACGGTCATTGTCTGGGTGTTTTGGGGTCATTTTCATTGAACAAACCTTGTCAACCCTATCAACTTGTCGATAGGGGATTGGTTTTATAGGCTTTGTGCCTTTATTAGTGAATTCATATTATTATAGGCCTTAAAGGTCTAATATGAATGTATTAAAACAAATATACTGGTCCCCTTAACTGTATATTTGTTTGATGGTTCGAACCCTTTTGACTCCTATTTATCCGTATAGAAGGATTATGTTCGAACTTCAATTCACTTGTTAACCCACGTAGCATCCCTAGACGTCATATGTATCCATAACACGCTCGTCGGGGCCCATGCGGGTGTTTGGAGTTTTTTTGTAATTATTTATTGAAAATTGTCGACTCATATTTACCTGCTTAGGAGGATATAGTTTAAATTTATTGACCTGCACAGCATCCCTAGACGTCACGTGTAAACTTATAACACGCTCGTCGGGGCCCATGTGGATTTTGTGATTGCATTTACCCCTTGTGTATCTATGTGTATACAAACTACGGTGCATGTACGAGGGTACTCTTCGATTATTTATAGACGTCTTTTGTCTCATTGCATAGACGTTGCGGATCCGATGGCGTGACGTAGCAGCTTCTGAATAGAGTTTTTCATTGTTTTATACAGGTAGACTGTCGTGCACTATTTATTACTTTCTGCAGGTAGATTGTAGTGCACTAATGAATCTCATATTTTTTTTTACTTGTAGATCTTGTTTTTGCCGAAGGCCTTATGTATATGCTTGTATACGGCACTTTGCATACATGAGAGGCTTCCTACGACGGTTCGTAGGTATTTGGATTCGTTGCATATCATCTATTCTTGCTTGCAGATGACCGGTATATTTGCTCTCCTTTGCATTCTTCTTAACTGTAAAGAGGACCATAACATCCTCTACCTATTGCTTATTAGCACTCGTAGGCCATGGGAGTTTTCTTACATTCATTATCTACCACTGGCTGCCACTAGTAGATATACCATTGTATATGAAGCAATTCTCCAGTTGTTGCTAGTATATTTTTTTGTTCTTCGTATATCGACTTCCTTTGCCTATAACGAGCTTATACATCTACTTGTGGATAACCTGTTGTGAGTATATCTATATTCGTAGACATTCCGCTTCTTTTGTAACACGTCTATTATCACTGGTTGCAAGGGTTGTTACTTCTTCTTGCAAGGATTAGGCAGATGTGGGCTCCGAAAATTCGGCCCCGGCCTCCGCTCGCTTTTCTCTTTTTATTTCGGCGAAGGAGTTTTAACGGAATAAGTTCCGGGGTAAATTTTGGAAGGCAG